TTCACAAACAAAACAAACCCTTAAACACACTTAAACCCTTGTTTAAAACTTGTTTAAAAACTTCTTAGAACATTTCTTTGATAATGAAAAACTGAGGTATAAGGGGGTATTTATAGCCTCCTAATACCTCAAACAAAAGCCCAAACCAAAAGACCAAAAACCCCTCCAACGGATACAAAAAAATAGCCGTTATAGGCATTCTGAGAGCTGGGCGGTCGACCGACCTTTTTTCCGGTCGACCGCTCGCACTGTTCAAACCTAGAAAAGTTCCAGAGACATTTCCGGTCGACCGGTCCGGTCGACCGGAGTTACTGTAGCAGTGCGTGGTTATTTTCTAAAATCAATTTAAAATAGTAAATGAACTCCAAAAATTATGAAATTTTGTGGGAATGATCTAGACATGTATAAACACATGTTAGAGAAAGAATTTATGAAAAAGCATTTCCCACTTGAGATAAATAAATGTTTGAACACAGAAATACAGTTTCTGAAAATCTGCTGTGATACACGATTTTGTAAAATCAATTAGTCATAGTAAAGCAACTCCAAAAATAGTAAACTTTTGAGGAAAGTTTTTAAACATGTAGATAAACATGTCAAAGAAAGAATTTCTTGAATATCATTTCCCATTTATGAAAACTCATCTATTTTGTAAAACATGCACGAACATGCACGAATGAAAATTATGATTTTGTAAATTCCATTAAACATAACAAATCAATTCCAAACTTGATGAAAATTTGAGAAATGTTTGTAAACATAAAAACAAACATGTTAGAAAAATAATTTCTCAATTTGCATTTATAATTTGTGAAAAACACTGTATTCTGCAAAAGCACTAAAAGACGTATATATGAAAAAACATGTGATTGTTATTTTTTACTCAAAACAAGTTTTGAAAACTTATGGAATATTTATATGGACATAATAAAAGTTGTTTATGATGTAAATATAGTCCAAAACTTATTTTGCATAAAAACACTTATAGTTACGAAAATCACAAATATATATGTGTGTGTATGTTTGAACTTAGAGTATATAACACACATAATATAAAATCTAAAACTACATTACCCAAGCAATCTTGATCTGCAATTAAGCTTGACTTGGTACACTTGCGGATGAAGCTTGAACTTGATCTTTAACTTGAATTGCCAGGCTTCACTCCACAATTCCGCCAACCTCCATTTGATATCGTCGTTGAAGCGCTATTTCATCCATCCTCCAACACGTTGTTTGTCTATAATAAATATGAAAATACAAACACTAGACAAATAACATTAGTAGTAAATTGTTTGTAAATCATCATCAAAACAAGAAGGCCAACAGTTGTTGACTTGTAACCTCGTCTATTATGACATTACAAAGGTCATTGCTTATTGATCTTTGCCTGATATGAGAGTCGTCAGATTGTAACTCTCACCATCGATTGTGAAGGCCGCTGAATAGAGTTTTCATCAGCTGTCGTAAGTATCGTCGAATTGTAACTCTTCTCGATCTGTATGAAAAGTCTCCTCTTTGCCGTTTTCGATTGTCGGCGCGAAAGCTATTTGATTGTAGCTTCCGTTGTTGGAGCTTGACGGGAATCAACATCCATAGTGTCTTCTGGACGAATATTTGCCCACAGCTCTCTACCAAGCAATTCACCAACTAAGTCCAACCTTTTATTTCTGAAATCATTACACTGCTCATCAGCATCTCTAATAGTTGCTAATATAATATTAGTCACGCTGTTGTCGCAGCCATCAAGATCAATCATCTCAGAGATGAGGCCGTGTTTATAGCGGTTGCAGAGTTGCGGATGCAGTGATTAGAAAATCGTCTGATTGTAACTTCCATTATCAGGGCTTGATAGGGATCGGCTATCTATTGTGATTTTTAGACAGCCTATAATATTTTTTTAGCAAGCTAAGAAATGATTAAGTCTCTTTAACCCCTCACTTAACCCGTTGCCAAACAGCACATACATGCTTGCGGCGCCCCTCAACTGTGTCATGAAAATAGAGGTGGTGGCCACCATCTCCGCCCTCGCACGTCCTCGTCATTGGGAGAGAGAGAGAGAGAGAGAGAGAGAGAGAGAGAGAGAGGGGGAGGAGGGAGGGAGGTTAGGGGAAGGGCGAGGGACTGGCGGCTGAATGATCATCAATTTGGAGTTTGAAGAAGAAGAAAGATGAAGGGATTGAAGAGGAGCAATATTGGGCAAATTGAAGAAACTAATTATTAAATACGCATGGATTAGTACTAGCTACGTGGAATTAAAAACGAAGAGAGGAAAAAATTGTGAAGAAGGGAGAATTGAAGATGATAAACATTAAATACCTATTTTACCCTTTTAATTAAAGATTAAATAAAAACTCATTTTCGGTGCATCGAAGCCAAGCTATCTTTTATATCCTACTTTATATCCTACCCTGTTTTTTTTCTTTTTTCCCCCTAACTATTCTTTCATAACTAAATCATTATATTCCTTCATTGTCTTCTAAAGTTTTTTATATTTTATAGAAATATCTAGTCCTATATTGGTGTTGGAAACTCGTATATAATGGGAAATATTACTTCAGTAATGTGTTGGAACTTGAAAGCTTGAACACGGTCGTAAATAAAATTACTCCCTAAACATGGGACCCACGATTAGCATAATGGCGAAACTTAAGCATTATAATCCTTACTCGTTGCAACGTGGGACCCGGTCACGGACCCCACTAAACTAGGATTGCGCCAACATGGACGACCGAATTCTCTTCTATTCTTTCCCGCGTTTTTCTGTTTCAAAAACAAACCGTTTCCTTCTTTATTTGGAATCAGCTAATAAGTTAAAATAAATAATTTTAATTCTCTTAAAACAGCTAGAAAATCCCTAAAGTTTCTTAATTAAAACAAAAACGTTCCAAAATTTAGACATGACATCTACGGAATCTAGAGAATATGTAGCACACCTCCCATCTCTTCTCAACTTTCGTTCTATTAAGTCTAGTTTTACTATTTTAACCATAGAAATTTTCCTCTTGTTTTTCTGTGAACAGGATGATTTCTCTCCTAGAACCACAAATTTCGTGCTAAATTTAGAAAACCCGCCTATTTTTTCTCATGGCTTTTCTATTATTAAACACAAGGCACAGTTGTTCTTGTTTTCCTTCAGTTAATATCATTCACCTCTTCTTCCTCTCTTCTCCTTTATTCCCACGTATATATAAAGCCTTCAACTAGTCCTCATATTATTGCATCTTTCATACCAATTTCATAAGAAAAAAAAAGGTATGAAATTTCTCCAATTACTTACATTGGCATTTTTCATTGCCCTCTGTGGTCCTTTTGTTGAAGGCCTCGGAGTGAATTGGGGAACGATTGCGTTGAGGCCATTGCCTCCAGCAACGACAGTTAAGCTTTTGCAGGACAATGGAATCAAGAAGGTGAAGCTTTTCGACGCCAATGATACCGTCCTTAATGCTTTGGCTGGGTCTGGGATTGAGGTTATGATCGCAGTCTTTAACAATGATCTCCCTGAAGTTGGAGATTATGATAAGGCTAAGGAGTGGGTGAAGAACAATGTTGAGAAGTATAATGTGAAAGATAAAGACGGGGTCAAAATTACGTAAGTTTTATAGATTTTGCGTCTGCTTTTAGATTGTTTTCTCATAAATAGCTTGGTTACCACGTTGTTTATAAATGGTATTAGATTGAATTCCTACGGCTTCAGGAGAAATTGTTTTTTTCCCATTTATTAGAAGACTAATATGTTATACATATATATATGCATATGATTTGTTATGTTTTTTTTTTCACTCCCAAGTTTTTTGATGATTAATTTCACAGAGGAGTTTTGTAGGTTGTGTGCGCTTGTGGTCAATTGTGCAAATTTTCTTCTGACAAACATGAACAATTACCTTCAAATTACTCGAAAAGGTTAAAAACTTTGCGAAGTTTTTTCTGTTAAATAAGAAAAAGTGCCTAACTCAGAAACCCCCAAAAACAAAAACAAAAAGAATTATGTAATTTCTTCCAACAATCTTTGTCAAAAAAAAAAAAACATTTGAAAGATGTATATGTTTTTCATCATTTTGAAAGCTATTAATAAGTTTTTCTTGATTCTGACAGTTGTGTCGCCGTCGGCAACGAGCCCTTCCTCCGCTTCTACAAGGACCAGTTCACAAGCACAACATTCCCGGCCCTCAAAAACATACAGAAGGCCCTCGGGGAGGCGGGCCTCGGTGACACCGTCAAAGTCACCATCCCCCTCAACGCCGACGTCTACGAGTCCCCATACGACAACCCCGTCCCCTCTGCCGGCTACTTCCGTGCCGACGTCGCCCCCCTCATGACCGACATCGTCAAGTTCCTCAACGAGACCTCAAACCCCTTCACCGTCAACATCTACCCCTTCCTCAGCTACTACACCTCCCCAAACTTCCCCCTCGACTTCGCCTTCTTCGACGCCAAAGCCAACCCTGTTGTCGACCACGACATAAAGTACACCAACGTCTTTGACGCCAACTTCGACACCCTTGTCTCCGCCCTCAAGAAAGTCGACTGCGGCGGACTTGACATCATCATCGGAGAGGTCGGATGGCCCACCGACGGCAACGTTAACGCGAACGTGCAAATAGCTCAGCGATTCTACGACGGGTTGTTGGCGAAGCTCACGAAGAAGGAAGGAACGCCGCTGCGGCCAAATTCGACTTTCGAAGTATACATGTTCGGATTATATGATGAGGATCAGAAGAGCGTATTGCCAGGGGATTTCGAGCGGCACTGGGGGATTTTCACGGTCGACGGGCAGCCAAAGTTTCCAATGGATCTCGCGGGCACGGGAGAGCCCAAAATGCCCGTGTCGGCGACGGGTGTTGAGTATTTTCCGGCAAAATGGTGCGTAGTGAAGCCAGACGCTAAGGATGTTAGTAAGATTCCTGACGCTATGAAGTACGCTTGCGATCGGGCGGATTGCACGCCGCTCGCCAACGGGTCATCCTGCGGAGCGCTCGACGAGACAGGGAAGGCATCATACGTGTTCAACTTGTACTACCAGAACCAGAATCAGAGCGACAAGAGCTGTGATTTCGATGGATTGGCGACAGTGACGACGAAAAACGCGTCGCAGGGCACGTGCAATTTTACGATTATGTTCGATAAGGTTGATACGGCGGATTTGCCTCACGGTGGCGACGGCGGTTCATCTGACTCTTCTTCAAAGGGTGGTTCTGATCATAAGTCTTCCGGTTCTTCACCGTCGGCAGTGCTGGCATTTGCTGTTGCAGCTCTATTTGGCGTTTTCGGTATTCTCGTTTTAGGAATGGATGTATAAATGCGAGCGCGGTAATTGCTGATTTGTTTCAGTTTGTATTTGTCGGTTCTTTTTAAATAAAAATCATAGCTAAAGCTTATTATTTTAGATGAATTGAAATTCAATTTGGGGTCCACTTGTACTCGTCTGTTATTTGATGTTTATTCTACTTGATTGCAGTGCATAGTATTGGGAAACTAAAGACCATAATCCAAGCTCAAGATCAACATGAAAGAAGAATATAAATGTGGAATAAATAACAAACAATCAAACACAATGGGTAACCAATATAACGTGGTTTGGCCAAATGTGCCTAAATCCACCGACAAGAAGAGAGCTTTTTCCACTACATCAACCAAGAAGAGAATACATCACACAACCATCTTGAAAACTTCTATCAAGCTTGAGAGCCAACATCAATGGGAACAATGGGGAATTACAAAGGTTCACCTTTACCGCTCGAAACATGCGTTTTAATAGGATTCGCACTCAAAACATATGGTATGCAAACCAATTTTGTTCAGCTATATATCAAAACACTCAAGGATGTACGTATAAAATAAAAGGAGGGAATTGCAGTCACAGTTTAGATTACAGTTTGATCAATAGAACAGGTTGCATAGAAGAATATAGCTTGGAGGATTTTGAAGAAAAGGGAGCCTTTCTCATATAGAGATAAAAATCAAATACTCCAAGCCAAAATAAATCAAATGTCCAAACCAGCGGGACAGTCTTCAACAGTCCCAAACAAATTGCTTGAATCCACCTACTAGTACAATTCTAACACTCACTAACCTTCACTCTTACACCATCCATAAACCCTAAATCCCAAACCAGACAGCCCAAAAATATCATGAAAAAAAAAATCACTACCGAGAAACAGCAGTACCAGCTTTGTTCAGTTTACTATGAGATTGACCACCAATGGCAATATTACCAAGTTCTGTTGCCATCGCCTCTCTTTCATCCTTATCCTTTTTCTGCTTATCATCTGAAGGCTCTGCTGTGGGCTGACAAAGCCTTGGCCCTGCATCCAGCCAAGGATGAATAAGTAATTGTGCAGCAGATGGTCGCTTCTCGGGGACAAAGTCAAGTACTGGGACAAGAAAATCGGCCATGTCTGTGGCATCTTGCTCGCTGAAGTCGTATTTTTCCATAAGAACTTTGTGAAGAGGCCAGAATCTGAGGCGGCGAATGTGTCTCAAATCGCCATATCTGTTGAAGAAGTCCCGGGAGTATCGGCCACCCAAGGCGATCTGAAGAGGTAAAAAATAATAATAAATTGGCATAATCATGCAGTGGAAGCAAAAGCAGAGTTTTTAAAAGAAGAGGCAAGTATTCAAAGTGAAATCAGCCCCTAATGTTTACCTGACATTTCTAAGAAGCCTTTAACAATATTTTAACCCATTAAGCCCTTGTAGTTATTTCCAGTCTACTGAGTCACCATCCATCATTTTTAAGAGGCATGAAAGTTTTAAAAATCGACCATTTTTTAAAGCCAGCCATGAAAAATGATTCACATTTTTAAGAGCTCTAGTATGCAACAAACCAAGAGACCAATTTGACGGTATGTCATAATTCAAGATCAAACCAGAATTACCATTTCCTCCGTAATTTAAGCCAACAAGGCCCATATTGAGACTTCTGATTTCAATCAAAGGAATGCTGGCAGCATGAAGTAACAACTTGTGACTGTGTAAGCTATCCTTTTATCAGATACCTAAATAGAATGATTGCATTTATTACAACTACTGCAATCCCTTTAATATATAGAGTTCATTTTCACATAAACTAGGGACCATTGACCATGGCTACTTCCTGCCACCTGGCATTTTATTTGAATATCATTTTTTTTTCCTTTGTTATATGCTTTGTTCACTTGTAGGACAGGGGCAATAGGCAAGGCATTAGGCAGGACCTCAGCTGCCTTGCGCCACCTTAACATCTTTTATAACGTTGTTTTGAAAGTGCCAATGAACAAATAATAAATTGTATAATTGCATACCGCATAAAATATTGATATTATCTTTGGATAGTTGGAGACCTGGAAGGTATGGAGTTTGGACCCAGATATCTCCAACAAAAACCCATGAACTCATGAGTGTAATGTCCAAACAAAATAAACATTTTAAAGACGAATGTTATTGGGTACCATTAACAACTTTATTTAAGAGAGCATTCAAATTAAGAACCTTAAAAAGACAATTTATAAGATGGAGTACCTTTCGAGGCATCATTCCAAGGAGCTCCATCATCAACGCCAAATGGTCCTACAAGCAGGAGAGAAATAATTAGTTCCGTGAAATTTTTCATAAAGGATTTTGGTGTAAATCTAAATACATCCGTTGAAGTTTCCTCTCAAAGTCACAAGTTCGCAATTTAAGAAAAAGAATTTTGCGATACAAAGTTTAGAAAAATGTGATTTAGTTATTACAGGAACATAACATAGATCCTTCTTTTCAAATTAGAACTACTCTTTCTGATGAAGTTAGTACAATTTATCAGAACCATATGCATCAGACATAAATGGGAACAATGGTATCACAAAATAATAACAATAATAATAAATAAATAAATAAATAAAATAAAAATGGTATAGAAATAATTCCACAATCTTTGAAGCATGGGATGACAGATTAAGATTGCATAGTTAATAAGTGTGCAATCAATCTGCACTGCAAAATCAATAGTTTTGGAGAAGGTTCTAACATGAGCTAACTGAACTTTGTAGTCACTAAACAAAAATAAAATTAAATTTTTTTATATAGTCACTAAACAAAAATCAAATTAAAATTTTTATCAAATAACTGAACCTCAACAAATAAAGGAAACAATGAAGTCAAAAAGGGGGAAAAGAGATAACAATGAAATAAATCGAGTGATAACAGTACGACACTATCAACAAATATGTCTAACATTTAAGACGTAAAGTCGCAGTAGCACTAGTAAGTAAACCAGTATTTTATTCCCTCCGACAAGTATCATTTCCACAAGCAAGTCGATAGCTTCCGATTCAGGTAAACCCGTTTTTTCCCCATGCTGGAAATATCATTTATAGTTTTTTCCCCCCTCAAAATATTTCCATACTAGTTATTGCAAACAAAATTTCTGAAATAATCAGAAATTTAGGACAATAATAAAGGTAAACCATATCATATAGGGTTATCTTTAATGCTTATAAACCAGACCCTTTACCAACTTAGACTCCAAATGCATGTATATATCAAGTTATTAAGTAATTCAGTAGACGGAAAACTTTAAATTTATCCTTTAAGAAACTATAATTCACTGGCCATGTAGAGGCATGCTGGAAAGATAGTGAGAAATATCAGCATTTTACATCCAAATATTACTGAGGAACCTCTATGGTTCATCTAACAGGAAGCACTAGGCATCACTATTTTGGTCCGTAGTCGTCCCATATGCATAAGATGCTGCTGCAGATTTAACTGGGGTTTCATTGCATCTTGAATCTATACAATGAATGGCAGGAGCGGAGCCATACCCAACTTCAACAATGTGTCTGACAGAAGAGTTACATGAAATGATTGGTATGCTTTATGACATGAGACAAGCAAAATTTACAGTGTATATGCAATTAATTGGAGACTATGCTAATCAGGATTTATTTATTTCCTTCAATATTTTATTTGGATAATTCCTTACAATTATAGTCTAGTTTTGTAGTACAGTCAGAGTTGCTATAGCTGGAAAGTCTGAAATTATAGAAGGATGGCCCTATTTGTAGGATGAAGTTGTAGTAGTAAGCAAAATAAGAAAAGATCTGCATTAGAATAATTCTATGACCCAAAAGCTGCTTTTCAGAAGCCTTCTGACTTGTACAGATGCCTTGATATGGGCAAAGATTTGGCATGAGATTTCCAAGGGGGGAAACAGTGAGAAGAAGCATGCAGCAAAACACTTTCAAGTCATTTGACAAGCTCAAAGCTGGAACTGCACTTTATTAGGAAAAACTTGGGATATCTGGCGGCTCCAACATAGAAAAAGCTTTAGATGGTACCAGAGCTTTAAGGTAGAGGGAACAAGTCCCTCACACAGCTTCAATCTTTCATCAACAGAATAATGATCTTAATTTCAGTTAGGCTAATATACATCAGCAAAAAAAGACCTCAAAAATTCTGGCTTAACACGAAATAAGAAAATTGACCAACCTGATTGGCATGATCTATGAAGTTTAAAATGCAGAGAGTAACTATAAGAATACAAGTACATTAGTGATATGAGTCATATGACAATTCTTAATCAAATAGTGGTTCATCACTAGCTATGAAGCATGGATTCACCCCCGGAGGCCACGAATCCGTGTCCGACTCGAATCGGACATGGATTCGTGCACGGTACGTGACACAGTCAATCCGTGTCCGACACGGGTCAATGGTCAAACTAAGGGGGACACGGTCAAATGGGGTTTGGGACACGACTGGGATACGGCGAAACCAAAGGAAAAAAAACAAATGAAGAAACACGTAAACCCGAAACCCAAACCTAAACCCCAAAACTAAACCCTAATTTTCACTTACCTGACGCCGACGGTTTGGGACTCGAATCGTCCTCGTCACTCCCTCAAAATCACAGATCTCGTCCTCGACGCTCGACGAAGATCTCCTCGTCCTCGTCCTCGATGCTCGACGAAGATCTCCTCGTCCTCGACCTCGACGCTCGACGAAGATCTCCTCGTCCTCGACGCTCGTTCTAAAAATCACAGGTCAGTCTCTCTCTCTCGATCTTCGTTTCTCTCCCTCTCTGTTGATCTCTCCGTAGTCTCTCTCTCTGTCTCTCTCTCTCTCTCAGTCTCTCTCTTATTATCTTTCTCTCCTTTTCTCTCTCAGTCTCTCTCTCAATCTCTCCTCTCTGAGTCTCCCTCTCTCTGAATCGTTCTCTTTTCTGTTCGTCTCTCTCTGTCGATCTCTTCATCTCTCTTATTCTCCTTTTCCCTCTCAGTCTCTTTCTATCTCTCAATTTCTCCGTCCCTCTCAGTCTCTCTTATCTTAGTTTTTTTTTTTTTTTGAAAAAACTAACTTTTTTTTGTTTATGTAGCTTCGTGATACTGTTGAGCAACTGAGCAAGTCACAGATCTACAATCCTATTCTTGTTTATGGAAGAAGAAAGGGGTCTCTATTTGTATAGTGATGGTTGGGCAGATGCACAGAGGAGGCCACTGATAAATTTTATTGCGGTCTCAGACAACGGACCAATATTCTTGCACTGCGTGAATGCTAAGGGAGAGCAGAAGAATAAATATTTCATTGCAGAGAAGTTTGAAGCTTGCATTAGAGAGGTGGGGTCTCAAAATGTGATCCAAATCATTACTGATAATGCTTCGGCATGCAAGGTCGCAGGGGCAGTTGTGGAGGGCAAATTTCCACACATCTTCTGGACTCCATGTGTTGTTCACACCCTCAATCTTGCCCTTAAGAATATTTGTGCTGCGAAAAATACAGAGGCTAATGCAATTCCTTATGCAGAGTGCAGTTGGATTACAAAGGTATATGATGATGCTTTGATGATTAAGAACTTCATCATGAATCACTCAATGAGGCTGGTTATGTTCAATGAGCATTCGAAGATGAAGCTTCTTTCAATTGCTGATACTCGATTTGCTTCATGGATCATCATGCTAAAAAGGTTCACGGTGATCAACAGAAGCCTCTAAGATATGGTTCTTAGCGACCGTTGGAGCTTGTACAGAGATGATGATGTGGAAAAAGCACAGTTTGTTAAGGAGAAAGTGATTGATGATTTGTGGTGGGATAGGGTGGATTATATTATTGCTTTCACTGCTCCTATATATGATATGATTCGACTCACCGATACCGACAAGCCTAGCATTCATTTGGTATATGATATGTGGGATACAATGATTGAGAAGGTGAAGGTTGTTATTTATAAACATGAGAGCAAAAGAGAAAATGATCCCTCTTCATTTTATGATGTCGTACACAAGATCTTGGAGGATAGATGGAATAAGAGCAACACGCCACTTTAGTGCTTGGCGCACTCTTTGAATCCAAGGTAATAATTTAGATTATGTATCAATTTATTATTTTTGATGTGATAATTTTTATTAATAATATCTAATTCAATATTAAACTTTAATAGATATTATCACGAGACATGGCTCAATGAGAATATCCATCGGCAAGCACCCCATCAGGATGAGGAGATCTTTTCGGAAAGGTCCAAGTGTCTGAGGAGATATTATCCTAATACCGATGAACGGATAACGGTTAACATGGAATATGCTAGATTCTCGGCCGCTCTTGACACTTTTAGGGATCCAGATTCTCTTGCTGATAGAGGATTGATAGATCCAAAATCATGGTGGGCGCTCTATGGATCCTCAACTCCAAATCTTCAAGCATTGGCCTTAAAGCTTCTAGGCCAACCATGCTCATCCTCTTGTTGCGAAAGGAATTGGAGTACATATTCATTCTCTCTGAAGAGGAACAAGATGACACCAGCAAGGGCAGAAGATCTTGTGTATGTGCATAGCAATCTTCGTTTGCTTTCTCGATCATCCCAAGAATATCAAGAAGGAGAATCGAAGCTGTGGGATATTGGTGGAGATGCATTCGACTCATTTCAGGGTGCCGGTATTCTTGATGTTGCCATCTTGTCTCTTGATGAACCCACCATGGAGGCTGTATTGTTTGCTGATGATGAATACAATGAAGAAGTCATCGAACTAGCTTTCACTTCATCTTGATGTATTTTTTGTTTACAAACTTGTTATGTTGTGGTAGAATGAGTAGAGTATGTACTCCAATTCCTTTTTGTTTACAAACTTGTTATTTTGTGATAGAATGAGTATGTACTCAAATTCCTTTTTGTTTACAAACTTGTTATTTTGTGATAGATTTGTAATTTAGATTGTTAGTTGAATTTTATAAATTTTTCTATATATAATAATAATTAAAAAAATCCTCGTCGTAGCCCCGTATCCTATTTTTTTGGATTTTGCCATATCCCGTATCCGTGTCCGTGTCATATCCGTAAGGGCAGAAGATCTTGTGTATGTGCATAGCAATCTTCGTTTGCTTTCTCGATCATCCCAAGAATATCAAGAAGGAGAATCGAAGCTGTGGGATATTGGTGGAGATGCATTCGACTCATTTCAGGGTGCCGGTATTCTTGATGTCGCCACCTTGTCTCTTGATGAACCCACCATGGAGGCTGTATTGTTTGCTGATGATGAATACAATGAAGAAGTCATCGAACTAGCTTTCACTTCATCTTGATGTATTTTTTGTTTACAAACTTGTTATGTTGTGGTAGAATGAGTAGAGTATGTACTCCAATTCCTTTTTGTTTACAAACTTGTTATTTTGTGATAGAATGAGTATGTACTCAAATTCCTTTTTGTTTACAAACTTGTTATTTTGTGATAGATTTGTAATTTAGATTGTTAGTTGAATTTTATAAATTTTTCTATATATAATAATAATTAAAAAAATCCTCGTCGTAGCCCCGTATCCTATTTTTTTGGATTTTGCCATATCCCGTATCCGTGTCCGTGTCATATCCGTCTCCTGTATCCGTATCCGTGCATCATAGATCACTAGTTCAAAGCTTACATAATGTGAAGGTCTCATTAAATAGAATTTGCATTAGCTAGAAACCGTGATGTTCTGGTCCATTCTTATTGTAGTTAGGCCCCAGAGCATATCCTTTGTCTTTAGGTTATTGATGTTATGGTGCAAGTAAAATTAGTTACTTGTCTGACATTTTCTTACTTTTTACACCCCTTAATAGACTGTACATAAAATACTCTATAATTTATGTAACTATTTCTAATTCGAGATATTAACATAAATAACAAAATAATTATACATTCCATCCATTTGATGCCCTTCATTATCTTACTTTTACTACGCATGTTACAAACGTTTTACTTTTAGTTGATACAGTTTACTTTGATGTTCAGCTGCTAGTTCTACATATAAAAAAATTCAGATTTGTGCTAACTTGTCAATTTTGTTAACAGCTTGTTTGACTTGTATTCAAATTTAGGTCAGACGCATGTCCCCCGTGCATAGCGAGCCATTAAGTTGTGCCAATGTGCTATCTATGCATGAATTCACACAAGTTCATGTGCCCGTATGTGCAGCACATATGAGTACTAGCTCCATCTCGCCTTCCCGACCTTAAGTCTTCATCCAGATAGACATCTCAAGCCTAAATCCAAAAGCAATAGGAAGATACTAGGTTTTTTTTCCTCCTTGGACTAGCATAATTGAATTTGTTTGTGCATTGAAGATGACTGGGATCTCTAATCATGAGTGAGATTTATATCCTTTGTCTTGATGCTAATGCTCTGCAGGAATCTGGTTCTTTATTACTTCCAGTATAACTTGAAGACAAGAGTGTTATGCATAGAATATACCAGTTAAAAAAGAAATATTCCACGATAAAATATACTTTTCAAGTCATATAAATTAATATCTCACAACTAACCAAAAAGTGGACAATATAAGTGCATCTAGAAGTCAAATAGAATTTGAAAATTATCACTCATGCATTATAGGTTCTAACTTCATAGAAACAAATATATTTCTGATCCATCTTCAATATGTTTAGGAAGTGGCAGATTTTAGGACATCAAAAAGTATCCAACAAAATAAATCAAGTACCAATTACATAGCTGAGATGGGTTCACGCAACACAGCTTGTTATAGGTCACCAAATTACTTATACAAATCAGAAAATATTCTCGTCTGAAAAAAAATTGCCTTTGAAATGTTATGATGATAATGTCACAAATAGTTGTCCCAAAATCCCTTGGTTATTAAATAAGTATTTCTCACCAGTTTTCTATTAAAAAAATCATCTACTGTTGATATATATATATACAGGAAAAAAAATCATAGATTAGCATTCTGGAAGGAAGGTGAGAATTTAGGAAGGGTACCGCTAACTTATCCAAAAAAAGTAAAGAAGATACTAAGTTCAGATGTATGCAATGACAAAAACTTCGCCAACAGTTTTCTAGAAAGAGGCAGATCATATGGCAAATTGAACGGTTTAAATGTCCATAAAACCATGCATAACATAAACAGAATTAAACAACAGAATTAAACAAGACTTCCTCTTTCAGGAGTCTTACTAAAACAAGGTGAGGTGAGCAAAGCTAAATCTTATAAGAGGCTGTAAGAGATTGCAATTAAGAGTTATCCTCAATCTTTTCTTCAAAACAATGTCTCTATGGACCGAAGGAACATAATGTGCAAACTTCTAACAACAAAGTATACAGTAAGAATTTTAACCTGTGTATGGTCTCTATGAATAAACATGGTAAACCGATAGCTCATGCATCCAAACTACACATATTAGGTACTACAAATTGACACACATGTTTGCATACTTATGTCGTTTTTGACAGGTCCACGAGTAAATGTGAAGAAGCACTCGATAATCATCAGCATAACTAACAAAGTTACGGGGTAGTAAGAAGCCATATAGAAAAAATAATAATAAGTAACCAAATAGGAGAGTTATAGTCTTCTGCATCATAGATGATTTAAAAATAAAGCAGAAAATTTTAATAATTGGCTTAGTCCATCCGCATGACGTCAAAAGTATGAGATAGATCTAATGACTTGTCAATTGAACCTTATGCTGTTTTGACATAAGAACTAAGTTTCTAAAATATTTCCAACTACATATAATTCAGCCTACTGCATATATGTTTGAACTTTGAAAAAAGAAGACTTCCCCATAATTATAGACCGTATGCTGCGTGAACCATTCATCAGTAACATGATACATGAACTCTGATGTACAGCTTGGAGGAGAGGTTTTCGTATGCTTACATATCCTAAAAGGCCAACTAAGCAAGCCTGTCCTGCTACCAAGAACCTAATCAATTCTCCTCTATCAATCTCAGATAATCTAAACGACCACTGGAGGACTGCTAAATAGTAAGAAAGAAGCTCATATATTAAGAAGTCAAATGCACTCCTTGATGTGCCACAACCTATAGAGTGCTGCATCCTTCTTGCATCTTATTCTATAATTGACCAGCTTCTGCCTTTCAATTACTATCATCTGTATTTCTTTTTTGGGAAAATCTACCCATAATTTCAATTTTAGTTTGTCGACGTCTCAACTCTAGGATACTTACATGAGATTCCAATACCACGACAAGTCGTTAAATCATGACCTATTCCATGTGATGACATCACCCATGTGTACATTATATCAAGTAAAAAAACTATCAGTCATTTCAACAGATTAATTGTCACATACCAGAAACAAATTTGCATGTGTAAACAGCTATATATAGTTTTTTCTAAAGGATTTTATGTTGTCAGATTCTCCCGAACCCATGCCTGTGTAAACTTAACAATATTTTTAAATGAATGGTAACAAAAAAAGTACAAAAATATGACAAATATACAAAACTAATCCTAAAAGAATAGTATGCTGATGTTTTTTTTCCTCGAACCAATGCTGAAAAACATAATATCTTATCACCTAGGCTAGAATCCTTATTGGCTAAGACAAGGTACAACTCTGTAAAGGTCAAGAGAGTTACACAAGTCCACTAAAATAAATTAGAACAATTAGAAACACTGTCAATTATACCGTGTAATCCGGAGAATTACTGACAAAAAAAGTTAAGATACTGAAAGTGGGCTTAAAATGACTATCTCATCATATATGCTAAAAGTCTAGAGCTTCAACAAAAAAAAATCCATAGATACTGAAGTAAGAGGACAAAAATAAAAGGTAATAATATTTTATACCTCATCCCGATCAAAATTGTCCCCACTGTGTGGATCAAAGAGCACATCCCCTGTAGCAAGCTCAAAACAGATGCACGCAAACGACCATAGATCAGCAGATGTTGAGTATTTGGACCCCAGCAGAACTTCAGGACACCTATATTGCCTAGTCTGGATATCATTTGTGAACTGCTTGTACGTCCAGCAAGCATTACCAAAGTCCACTAGCTTGCACTTTGGGTCAACCTCCAATGCCATTTTCCTTCTTGTCCCTTTGCTCCCTCTTCTTGACCCTTGCCCTGCCCCATTCTCAACTCCACCACCAGCACTATCACTTGCACCACTCGAACTTCCTTTTTCCTGAGATCCATCATGATCCGCTACAGCCAAAGAAGTACCAGTGCCTGAAGTGGCAGCAGCAGCCTTCTTGGCCTTCCTTCGAATTTTCTTCTTCTGGTTACGTGTCAAGTCCCCATTTGACGGTGTCTGGGTTTTAGGAATTGGGTCCTCAGTCTTCATAACGGGAATAATAGGGGGAGAATCAGATCGGCGTGGATCTTTGGTAGGGTCAATGGTAGATACAAGAAGAATATTTTCAGGTTTGAGGTCTGTGTGAATGATGGAGAGTTGACGATGGAGATAGTCTAGGCCAACAAGAACATGGCGGCATATTTCTTTGACCATTGCGAGCGGAATTCCTCGATAATCCGTGTATTTGATTAAGGAGAGAAGATTGTCACCAAGGAATTCAAACACCATGCAGACGTGATGACCGTTTGGACCAGAATGCTTGAAGTGGTCAAGGAGCTTAACAACGCATCGGGTGTCATCTGGATCACCCTCAGCAATTTGCTTAAGGATTTTTATTTCATCCATGGCTGCCTCAGTATAATGTTGTGCACTTTTCTGAACTTTAAGTGCAACATACCGCTGCAACACACAAAATGAGATCGGTTTATCTAGCATATCCCAAATTGCAGAAATTAGACCCTTTACTTAAAAAGTATATCAAATTTCTAGTTTATGTTATTTATTGTATTAAAAGAGAAAAACAACCTTTCTTTTTTTGTGAAAAAATCTTTTCCTTCCAATCCTTTTTTTTTTTTTTGAGTGAAAGAAAGAAACAAGAAAATATGTTGTACCAACATCCTCAAGAAGGATCTTTTACGCAATATGTCCCTAAAGCGAAATAAAATACGAAAACTATTTTCAAAAAGAAAGTCGAAGAGTATTATTTAACAAGCCAAAAGAAATATAACAATGGTTTCATTTTCTACAGATTTCATCATAGCAATACATCAAGCAATAACTTTTATCCTTAGTTGCATAAGTAATTGTTAAGAAGAGAAATAAAAAAAAGGGAAAATACAGAAAATGAATTGGACAATCGGATTCCAACAGTAAATATGACAGCATAATATAACTATATAAGACAAATAAGATCTATTTAGTTTATTTACTGAAAGAGCTTTTAATATCAGGATCATGAATCCTATTTCAAGATATAAAAGAAAAAGTCTGCAAGTGAACACAAAAGAGAGGGATGATGTTGATAATTGTTCTCTTGATAAGGGGTTTAATTACGCTCAGCTCCTTGTTTAAGAAATAAAACAAGTCATGGATTTTTGTGTCTCCTGGAGATAGATCATCCAGTATAGTAAACAATTTCAGAATTAGTTTGAAGATGTTAGTTCGCTCAGGCTCTAAGAATACTAATAAATTTTAAGATATTCAGTCACTATAAGATAATAAACTTGCTATATCTGTCTAGAAAGAGCAGCTCA